CCCCGCGGGAGGGGGCGGGGGAAGGAGGGCACAGGCGGCGCGGCCGGATTTGAAGGCATTCGTGATCGTTTACAGCATCGGGTCCTTATGGAGCAACGCTTACACATCGTCCCCGCCCGCCGCCGCCTCCGGGGATGTGTGAAATACGGGTCCCTATCTCAGCATCCCCCCTCGCAAATGTTTACAAAACTGCCATAAATTAACTGTTTGCTGTCTGCCCATACGTGCTCCCCAGCATGCCCTGGGGATGCCAGGGCAGCCCGTCGGGTGGAAGGCTGTTAGAAATAAAACAGACCACAAATGTCCGGTTCCCACTCGGAGCCCAGCGCCACCGCGTCCCCTGGGACACGTCCTGCCGGGTCCCGCTCCTGCCGGCCCTGGGACGGACAGGGACAGGGCCTCGGAAGGAAGCATCGTAGCTATTGTGACTTTATTTGGGCAGTTCTTAGCTAAATTTCAGGTCATACAAAAAAGTAACTGCCTCTTATGCAGCCGTGTGAGGACTGCTGCTTTCTGAAGTTACACTCGCTGCTTAGTAAATATTTCCTATTGCGATTTAAAACTGCTTCTTAGTTTGCTTTTTGCAGAAGGAAGAAGAAACAGGTCACTAGTGTTTGCCTTCCCAACTTCACAGCTGCTAGAGCTGGCTAATTGTATCTGGTTAAGCACAAAGAAAATACAGATATTTGCAGAATGCATGTTTTCGGCCCAGTGAAAGCAAAAAGTCTGTAGATGTTTGAGAAAAACATCCATTATATCAGCTGCAAAGAAAGCCAGTTTTATTTGGTGAGTGACAGTGATTTCTCTCTGAGGTTTCTTCAGTTTGGCACTTACAGACTGCTCATTCCTCTCTCATTCCACCTCTTAACCGTGGTCGGCCAACCTGCTGATCAGTCAAACTGTAGAGCACCGCTGTAGATAGCTACTCATTTCAGAAAAAGTTGTTTTCCCCGTGTGACTAATGCAACAACACCCTTATAAAATATGTATGTGCTCATATGGCATGGGCATCTAGAAGACCTCTGTGGTCATGGAGGCCTTAGCAAAAAAAATACAAAACACAGATTGCATCTAGGAAAAACAAAATGTTGACTATGAGTTGAGCTCTACTGCCAACGTACCCTAGAAACCAGTACCTCAGTTGTTTTCCCCATGTGACTAATGCAACAACACCCTTATAAAATATGTATGTGCTCATATGGCATGGGCATCTAGAAGACCTCTGTGGTCATGGAGGCCTTAGCAAAAAAAATACAAAACACAGATTGCATCTAGGAAAAACAAAATGTTGACTATGAGTTGAGCTCTACTGCCAACGTACCCTAGAAACCAGTACCTGTAGGTGGGCAAAGCCTGACTGCATAGAGCCCTGCTCTGCCACGTGTAAAGCTCTCCAGAAAGTTGAGCACAAATAGCGAGGTAATGCCTAGCGACAGCAATCCACCGGGTGCCAGGCTGCTGCCCAGCAGACCTTTGGAGCTGGCTTGCCTTCTCACTTTGTGCAAGAAACCGTAGTGCGCCTTGATGAATTTTTCTCTCATTCTTCTGCAGCACCAGGGATGTTACATTTCTCACCCTCGTTTCTTTTTCTGTGAGCACCTTTGTCCTCATATTCTTAGAAAAGGGGATTACTTCCCCCTCTGCAGGGGCCAGCCGGAGTTCAGCACTGTTGCTAGGGCTTGGAGTTTGGCTCTCTCGCCAGTGCCATCCGTTTGCTTTTCATGCTTCACTTGGTCAGCATTTAGCCTGTAACCAACTTTTAGAGCACTTTCCACCTCTCTCAAGGAAACAGCAAGAGAACTCTTTTCTTTCAACTCCTCTTGCTCTTTGGAGCGATCGATCTGTGGAATATAGCTCCTCCCTGACAGGCTTGATCTACTTCTCTTTTCTGGGATCACAGAGTGGCAGAGAAAATAGCTGTCCTGGTGTAAGTGCAGGGGTTTTTCAAGGCTTCCCCACAGACAAACCAACCTGCCTCTTGGGTCACATCCAGAGCAGTCTACAAACTTAAATGGGCACTGGTGAAGACGTCTCATCCATCTACCTACCTACCTATCTGTTGAAGGCAAGTAATTTCCCCATGTCCTTGGGGGGAAGCCAAGTGCAAGATTCTTTAAAGGAAATAAAATAATTCTACCATTAAATAAGGGATAAAAATCCTAAAGGTTGACCCTAAGCATCTTACTGACAACTTCTGTAACCTCGGTGACTGACAGAAATTGTCCTCAAGTGTTATTTGCCTTATTCTTTGCTGATAATCCTTTTGTTTCTTTAAATCTTGTCTCGAGTAGTTCAGCAAAGCAGAAGATCTTCTAGCAGTGCAATTCAGCAAGAGTTTGGTTGAAAGCTTCAACATAATTTTTTTAGTTAGCTGTTGCAGCTGTAGCACAATGAATAGACACATCCAACAAGGTCTGTAGAGTGGGTATTTGAATCTCTCCGTTGGCCAGTCAGAAGAGCAATTAACAGACAATTAACAGACAAATTCAACAGTAATTTGAAATCATAATCTTAAATCTTGAGGGACATAAGGTGAGAGTTGATTAGATGTACATGAAATAGATATCGATCCCTAAGATCTCAGTGAAGTAGTTGAATAGAAGCTTTTGTTCTCTGAAATGAAAAGGGTTAGCGCCTTCAAAAGTCATTTTCTTATTACAAACTCCTGTCCATAGAATCTTTGTGGAAAGCTTTGGCTAGCTAGCTCAGCTGAGAGCTTACATGGGACATTCTGTGAAGTCATTTAAATGAAGGGATTCATACGCATTATTGTGATACATGAATTCTCATTTCTTCAATATGACAAAAAGGTAATCCCCCAAAATTCCTTCTCTGATACTGTGACACATTTGAAATGTTATAATTTTCCCCAATAAATTTCACTTTTGATTTTCCTCAGTATATCATTGCTGTTCAGCTGGCAGGGCTTGGTTGCAATAAATATTTGTCTCAGCTAACTTTTTTCGCTGCATGTGTTCCTATGTATTTGCTAGACATCTTCTCAAAACCAAGGATAACGATTTTTTTTCTGCAGGCCATGTGCAGAACTTGAAAGAATGGAAGAGATCAAATAGAAACAGGATTAAATTTAGCAGATATTTACAGATAATGCCTCTTTACATATTTGGCTTGTTACATACTCCATTGCTCTCCAGCTCTCCACTCTTCACATGCATGCTACTGGGTGGTCAGTCGGCTACCGCCAATTAATTAGATAACAATCTAATACAGACTAGAGTTCTTAAAAGACTAAGAAATTTTATTCTAACAGTGTGGTAATAGACTACTGTGCTAAAACAAACAGAAGATAGAGGCTATTGAATAGTCGTAACTAAAGGAAGGACAAAGGTGCAATCACTCATTATTACTGGCTAAATAGCAATAATAAATAGCAATCAGAGTGGTTTCTAGGTGATCCACAATGGCAAACTAGTTTTGAAAGCTTAAAGTGTAAAAAGAGAAGGCTACCCAAAGGTTTCAATATTAATTTCAGAAGAGGCTTCATGCATTTAGTCCAACAGAAATGAAATTTATAAATGTTAATGTAGAAGTGTGGATTGTGTTTAATGTGAAAGCCATACTGACCATAATACATCTGAATTACATCATTTGAACTTTTTCAGTAAGTTGATGTTGGAAGGTAGTGAAATCAGTTCTGCCCATATTTAAGAGCAGGAGCTTAAATGCATTGCTATTTCATGTCTTAAGCTCTTACCGTTTAAACCAGAGTATTTTTATTCCATCAAGATTACCGACTTGATTTCTGTGTAGTTTCATGCTGCTGTAAAAGAGGAGGGGAAAAAAGCTGAGGGAAATTGAATTTTTTTCTATGTAAGTAGAAAAATCTTTCTGTTTTATGACAGCCTGTAAAAATTGATTGCCTGTCTTAACGTAAACAGATGGTAACAGATCCAGGATGACTGACATTTACTATGTTCGTGCACAGCTCCCAGGGGACTCTACTTTTAACATAATCCACTGTGCCTGCACATCCAGCAGTTTGGAAAAATAAACACAAACAAGGATTTCCACTTTTAAAGAACTTCTAGTAATGAGTCTACTGAGTACTCAGTGACTTCTGCTGCTCATCAATATAGAAAGAAGCTGCCTGCACCGTTTGCATGACCAGTGTTGTTTCAAAAGTCAAAAGCATAAAAAAATGCGTATTTGCGAAGGGACAAACCTACCTATTCTCTATCTCCCAGCTCAAAATGGGAACTACTACTTCTTCTACTCCTCTGTTATCACTTTAGATCCCGTTCAGGTTTGTCCCTGTTCTTTAGTCTCCTGTTTTGTAATGTACTCTTTTATATCACCCTTTTGCTGCTAATTAGATATTTTATCATCCCTCTCATCCCACTCTCAGGTAATTCTTGCCTCCTTCAATTATTTTGACTTCTGTTCCCTTTGCCAGCTTGTATTAAACACCTTTAGAAACAACTGAAAGCAGCAGTAAGCTTTAATGACAGCTGTCAGTAAAAAACTA